CTAATATGACCATTAAAAAAAAATCAGACTTGAAAAGTAAAGTTCAGGAAAGAGTAACATTTAAATACTAATAAGAGTAGGAGAAAAATGTGTTTTCATATAAGTTGCTCTACATGGCTGTCTGCGTGCCACACGGGTGCCTAGTACTTGAGGAGGCCATAGAAGGCACCGGGTCTCCTGGAACCAGAGTCACAGTTGTGAGCTGTCATGTGGGTTTTGGGAATAAACCCAGGTCTCCTCTGCAAGAGCAACAAGTACTCATAACTGCTGAGCCATCTCTCAGTCCTTACAGAAGTTACTCTTAACAACCTAGACTAGGTTTATATTTCATTACATTTACTTAAGAATGGAAAAGAAAATCAATTCAAAACAACTAAAAATTCCTTGGTAACACAGATGCAAATTTCTTGTAATTCTAATACTAGTCTTTTTCTGGCGCTCTGGCTGCATTACCAAGTCTGTCACAGTGGCTCAGTGACGGGCTATCTATCTAGTCTGTCTGATCCCTGGCACTGCAAAGCCAACCAGGACCAATACTACCCAAAACAATCAACAAAAACCTAAGGGAAAAGTTACGGGAAGATGTTCAAATTAGAACAAAAGTTATATGCTGCATATAGAACCATTCAATGAAAACAAGTAAACATCTTTATCTACCTATAGAAGTGTAGTTTTTTCCCTACATAGGCATATTTTACATATCGAATGTAAAGTCAAGAAATTACCCAATTTAACAATGTCCACTTTCTAGTCACTAGTTTATGATATTCTCTTGTTTAATTTCTTTACCTGTTAGTTTAAGGACAGAGTGGCTCAGACGGACTGAAAAACAATGATTGTTCAGTCAGTAGACTGGGTCTTAACTTCAAACTCCACTATAACCACACCACTCTTTGGAACAGCCAGAAACATTTTCACATCTCTGTATTTCTACATCTCTTTATCAATGGATCGCCTAGGCTGCTATTAACCCTGTTCAAATAAAAGTTTTTAAAATAACTTTACCACCAGGGCACAGTGTCACACACCTGAAATCTGAGGGCTGAGGGAGGCAGAGGCAGGTGGGACTTCAAGAGTTTGAGATTAATCTGTCAGCCATGGCAAGGCCAGCCAGAACTTTGTAGTGAGACCCAAACAAAAACTGAAATAAAATGAACATACCAGTTAGGGCTTTCTGTTTGTGTGCCTCTTTTGTTTTTGTTTCACTGTGTCGCTCTGGCTGTTCTGGAACTTGCTATGTAGTCAGTTAGGATGTTTAGCAGTTAAAACTACCTTTTCTTTTTCTTTTTGGAGACAAGGTGTTTTTTGTGTAGCCTGGGCTACCTTAGAACCCACTAAGTAGACCAGGCTGACCTCTACTCAGAGCGCCCTCTGCCTCTACAGCACTGGCATTGAAGAAATGCACACCATGACCAGCTAAAACCACTTCTAGTTTTTTAAAAGTTGCATCTATCATAGAGAATAATCAACTATCTCAATTCACAAGTTCTATTTCTACGATCTGACCTCAGCAACATAATTTTGCTTCAGAAGTCAAAAATATGCTCTTTTACATTGTGAAGTAAAACCTTAAAATGTCTGCTTATGCCAAGGCTTCAAAGTCAGAGCCATGAAACATACATACCCTTCAGTTCATTATAGAATTAATATCTATTTCTTATGGTTTTTATTGTGAGCCTAGCCTTTAACGGCTGAGCCATCTTTCTTCAGCCCTAGAACTTGCACATATTTCTACACAGGCCCCAGATTTTCTGACTAAAGACTAAAATAGGTATCTGTCAACACAGACAGTAGCCTAACCCTCATATCCCAAGCCCCCCTCCCTCACCCCATGGGTCACCATCACAAACGGTCTTCAGTTATAGAATAAAATCTTAACAGGTCAAATCTTTTTTTTTAAGTTTTCCCAAGACGAGCGATAAATATAGTTCTAGTCACAGAATGTCCTGGACAGGGCCAGACAGACAGGCAGTGCGGCCGGCACGCCATCTTTAAAAGCTGTCCTGCATACTGCCATTGAAGGAAGCAGTCCCAGAAGCGGTATTTATGCTCAAAGGAGCTAGATCACAATTAGCTTTCAATCTGGATGCTAACAGAGGTGAGTGCATCGAGCCTGTGGTCTCAGAAGGCAGGCCTCACAGTTCTAGGCCAACAATTCTCAGTGACATGAACTCACTTCAGAAGCCTGACATGTCTTTTGTGCAGGAACTCTGGCAGTCAGTCACCCTGTGACACTGATGAGGTTCACTGCCATGAACCCAGGACGGGGCCTCGACCACAACCACTCTCACCTTCATCTTGATTTCAGCTGCCTCACCTGCCAAGCTACATCAGAAGAGGAATTTAATGTCTGGTGGAAAACCATCGCCTTACATTGTTGTTTTCTATAGAGTGGTATGGCAAACAAAATCTGAAAGTCACATCATTAAAACATTGGGAGGGCTAAGCATGGTGGAACACGCCTTTAATCCCAGCCTCGGGAGGCAGAGTTTGAGGTCAACCTGGTCTACAAAGCTCCAGGGAGCTAAGACGACACAGTGAGGCCCTCTCTTTTTTTAAAAAAAGGTAAATAATACTTCTCTGTTAGCCCGAGAAATGGCTCAGCAGCTAAAGGTGCTTGATGCTCAAACCTGAAGACTAAAATGTGGTCCTCAGAGCCCACATAAAAGTGGCATCCTCCACAAGCTGTTTTTTGACCCCCCTATGTGCACTCACAAACACATCATACATCATGCATCTATGCACGCGCATGTGCTCAAACACAAATACATGTGCACACGCACACATACAAATAAATTAAAAACAAAACCTTTAAGAAACTAGCTAAAAGGAATGAATAGCAGATGGCTTGTATAACGCTTGTCTCTGTGTTCCAATCTTCCTACTAGGCTTTGCTCAGGAAGGGCAGAGTATTCACAAGACCAAGTGGGAAGTAAGGTTGTCCATTTTACAGCATTGCTGTAAACCTGGTAACGTGTGTGCTGAAGATAACAGGAAATACACAGAATCTCCACTGAACTACAATCATCAGAAGTCTCACTAAAGCAAAAGTGATTCCTGAAATAAGACCAAAACATATCCTTTCTCATTTAACACTCACTGAGTGCTTCCTGTCAGGATTGTATGTGAGCAGCTCTTGAGACTTTCCACCCAGAAGATTGTTAAGTTTCATCCCTGTCTCACAGATAAGCATCAGCTGTGCAGAGCCAGGCAGCTAGCGCTCTGTGGGGCAGCAGTGAATTCTGATTGGCTGAACTTAAACAGGGGGCTGGTGATGGCTCAGCAGTTAAGAACCTATACTACTCTTCTTACCAGTGACCAGACCCCACATCAAGTGGCTTATACAGACAGCTCCAGGGAATCTGATACCTCTGGCTTCCTCAGGTTTCAACTCTAAGCACACAGACACACAATTAAAATGAATAAACCTTTAAACCTATTATAAAATGGGACAAGACCGCCAGGTGGAAGAAAACATAGGAACACATGTACACACAGGCACATACCCACAAAGGCATACCAGAGTCATGAACAGGCCATGAAGCAAACTATTTCTCCCACTGGCAACTCCATCCTACAGGCTAGAGGACAAGTGGAGGGTGATACTCTGAACTGATGGAGATACGTAAACAGACCCACAGCCGAAGATGTAAGCTCAAAAACACTGCATGTTGCTACTAACTGGTAATCCTGTTGATTTAGAAGCTGAGTCTAAAAAAAAAAATCTTTAAAAGGCTCATAAATCTTCCTAAGAGTTTAAGACTTGAGTGTGATACTTCCCAGCTGTGGTACCACCGTCTGTAGGAGTGTATCCTAAAATTATTAGGAAGTCAAACGGAAACACTAAGCGGACTCAGCCACCTTTTGGTGTACACCTTCAGGTTTGGATGTCAAATGACAGTAAGGCTGACTGACTCAATTTCCAAACCGGACAGCTCAGTGGTGCTCCAGCATGAGAGATCATCTAAAGGGTTACCTTTACGACTTAACGAAATTACAGGTTATCACGCAAGATAAATAAAAGTTAACTGAGACGATACACAAACAGTTCCTCTGGGGGAAACACCATTTTTTTTCAGTTTTATTTGAAGAAAGAAACTCTCCTGTGCTAAGTAATTATTCAACACATAAAGGCCTTGGTCAACTTGAAAAACACACCATGGGCCATCACTCCCCACCCCCAAGTAAGGAGTGCCTGTAAATCAGACAGACAAAAATCCTTTGATAGTATCCCAACTCCTAGAAAAAAAAAATGTAGACTCTGACTTGAATATTTAACTCTTTTACTCTTTCGCAGGACTCTTTAACATGAAGATATAAGGAAGCGACTTACTCCATAATATAAAAGAGGAATGAAAAAAGTTGGCTTTAAATAAGGTGATAAAAACTAAAAAAAACAAAAAAAAAACAAAAAAAAACCCAGTGGTTAATAAACCAATAGATACACATCTCTGAAAGCTGAGAAGACACGATCAAAAAGGGTTTACCCAATCCATCACCTGCAAGCTATAGTGTATAGAGGGGGTGGGGGAGATACACGGGTAAAAATGGAAGTAACTTTCTGTAACGTGGCCGCTTATAAATAGCACCTATCCCAGCTCTCGTTGCCAGTAAACACTGTTTCCAAACTCAACACCTGCTGCCTTTCTTCCTGAAAAAGAAAAGCACTCTCAAGAGCCGCTCGGCCGCCAAGACCAGCCTTCACCTGCCTCCGCCACACTCAGCCCGGGAGAAAGCCCTGCCTGCCATCACGCTCACTGGCCTGCAAACAAAAGCTCCGTGCACTCCGCGGTTTTCGAAGGGCCCCGATCACCTGCGAACGACCCCACGCTCACCAAGTCTCGGTGTCAACGACTTTCAGGGCGGTTGTCCGTGGACCCGGGGGACTGCAGCAGCCTGGTTTTCGGGGGAGTGGGGTGGGGTCCCGCATCCCGTCCCACACTCCAGGCGGGGCCGGGGCCCGTTTCCCCCCGCGCGCGCCTCCCCGGCGGGCCGCCTACCTTCTCGCACAGCGTCCGCACTTGGTTCTCGTTCAGCTGCTTACACTCGTTCAGCTGCTCCACCCACTGGTCCAGCTCCTTGGTGAACGCCTTGTCGTCCATGGCGGCGAGCCGCGCGTCCCCGCCGCCTTCCCCCGCCGCCGGCCCCCGGCGGGACCACCGAGCCGCGGAGCGCGCAGCCCGCGCCCCGCCC